TGCAGGGTGACAGGCCTCAGAATATTCCTCCTGTAATTAGACTGACAGGCCCGACTTGGCACAAGGCTCCCGTGATCTGCCGCGGCAGGCTCGGGCCGTGCCCCTTTCGGCGCTGGTGTCTCTGGCACCGCGCGGACTCCTCGACCTGGGGCGATCGGCCTCCTCCTCCTCCCGCCGCCTCCTCCTCCTCCGCCTCCTCCTCTCCTCCCGCCGCCTCCTCCTCCGCCTCGTCATCGTCGTCGTCCTCCTCCTCGTCCTCGTCCTCGTCCTCGTCCTCGTCCTCGTCCTCGTCCTCCTCCTCCTCCTCCTCCTCCTCCTCCTCCTCCTCCTCCTCCACCCTCCTCCTCTTCGTCGTCCTCCTCCTCCGAAACGTCAAATCTTTCAACATTGGCTGACTCTGGATCGCAGGCGGCGCTCAACGTTGAACGCCGGCGGACGGGCCGCTGCCTGTCGACGCAGCGCGAGCCGAAGTGTCGCCCGACGGGGCCCTCTCGCGCGGGATCGGGGAGTTCCGAAAGGTGCTTCTCCTCCAACGGGGCCCGCGCGAGGGCACCGCGTGGCACACCCCATCGGGCAAGAGAGAGAGAGAGAGAGAGAGAGAAAGAGAGAGAGAGAGAGCGCCGCCGAGGAGTCCTGGCGCACAGCGCCGCGCAGGGGGCGGCGGCGGCGGCGACGTCTCGCCGTGCCCAGGCCCCCCCCCCCTCCTCCTCCTCCTCCTCCTCCTCCTCCTCCTCCTCCTCCTCCTCGCCCTCCTCCTCGCCCTCCTCTTCCTCCTCCTCCTCCTCCTCGCCCTCCTCCTCGTCCTCCTCCTCCTCCTCGTCCTCCTCTGCCCCCGCCGATCGCCACCGACGTGGCCCCGTGCAGCTCGCCCTCGCTCGCGCCGCCCTGCGAAGCTCCGCCCGGCGACTCGGCCTCGGCGCGGGCGGCGGCCACCGTCGGCAGCGACCCGGGCGCCGAGGCGGTCCGCTGCTGCATGCCGCGGCCTCTGCGAGGAGGGAAGAGGAGGAGGAGGAGGAGGAGGAGGAGGAGGAGGAGGAGGAGGAGGAGGAGGAGGAGGAGGAGGAGGAGGAGGAGGAGGAGGAGGACGACGAAGAGGAGGAGGGTGGAGGAGGAGGAGGAGGAGGAGGAGGAGGAGGAGGAGGAGGAGGAGGAGGAGGGCGGAGGGAGGCGGAGGCGGAGGGGGGAGGCGGAGGGGAGGCGGGGGAGGGGGAGGGGAGGGGAGGGGGAGGGGGAGGGGGGGGAGGGGGGGGAGGGGAGGGGGAGGAGGGGAGGAGGAGGAGGAGGAGGAGGAGGAGGAGGAGGAGGAGGAGGAGGAGGAGGAGGAGGAGGAGGAGGGAGAGGAGGAGGAGGAGGAGGAGGAGGAGGAGTTCGGGGAGTTTTGTCGGGACGCTGTCCCGTCCGCCCGCCGCGCGGTCCGCGGCGGGCGCGCCGCGCGCCCGCGGCCGTGCTTTGCGTCTGGGCGGCCCCTTGTGGGCCCCCAGACCTTCTCTCTTTGCGCCTGGGCGGCACCTTTTGGCCCCCAGACCTTCTCTCTTCTTTGCGACTGGCAGCCCCCTTTGGACTCTAGGCCTTCTCTCTTCCTTTGCGACGGGCGGCCCCCTAGTGGGCCCCCGACCTTCTCTTCTTTGACTTCCTTGTCTTTGCATCAGGGCTGCCTTCGGCACCCTGATCTTCTCTTTTTGTCTTTGCGACGAGGCGGCTCCTTCTGGCCCCTCGCCCTTATCTAACTTGTCTTTCGCCTTTTCTGAACCTTATCCTTTACTGCGATCTACATCCAAACTTCTGCGAGTCTTTCAGCAAAACTGCGACGACATGTCAGCCTACTGGTTCCCAGTAGTCGGGGCGGAGGGCCCCCTGATCATGTTCCATCCAGTGCCCTTCCACTTGGTTCTGGTAGGCCTTCAGCTTGTGTTCCATACCTTTCGATGCTTTCCTTTCGCATGGTGTCTGCAGCTTGTGGCTTATCCTTTGGGTGGTGTTTGCCTCTGGCCTGGCCACACTTGCTGCGCAGTACCAGCAGAACCATCTCCTCGCTCTCGTTGCATGCCGCATGTCGTGGGACGGGTGGGTTGCTGCCGCCCCTGCCATGATCTGGTGTCTTTTGAATATCGTTTCCACCTGATGAGTCCATGCACTTTTTCTTCAGCCACTCTTTGAGTACCTTTTTTTGTTGGGGCCGTATTACACACATGATTCAGCGCACTTGCAGCACGTCCATTTTCCGTTGGTCTTGTCAATCTTGTGCGTGGTACTTTCGATCAGCTTCTCGATGTCCTCTTTGATGTGCCTTTCTTCTTTTTCTTTCGCCTTTTGTTCACGTAGGAGTTGCTTCTCATCCATCGTCATGGAGGGGCTCTCTCTATGGCTTGTGCTGTAGCTCGGCAAATACGTCTGCGGATCACGACGCCGATCGCGTTGGCCCAGTTGTAGCATTCCTGCTCGTTCTTGGGGATGCTGTGTTGGTCCGCTGCTTCTCCCGCCAGTATGTCCGCCCTTCTGTTGCCTTCCTACGCCGCCCTGGGGTGCTGCTTCATCTGCGCCTCTTCCCAATCCAAGTGGCTCTCGATGTGTTTGACTTTGATGCGTGCATCTCCTCTGTACTCGATGGCTAGCCCTAGCTTCTTCCACAGGCCGCCGTCCGTCCCGATGTAGGCCTTACTCAGGTACCTTTGCTTGCGCCATCCTCTGCGTAACACATCTGAGTCGGTCCAGAACGTGATGTCCCCTGTGGAGCGTGCCAGGGCGTCGATCATCGCATACATCTCCGCGCGGTTGTTAGTCTGTCTTGCTCCTGGCAATGGTCCGCTGTGCTCCTCCTCAATGGCGTTGCTGTGCTCGTTGATAGCTGCCCACCCCCAACCGCATCTTCTGTGCCTTCTGTCGTCCGCTTGGGCACCCCCGCTGCCGTCACCGCAAATGCGTAGTGGTTGGTCTTCGCTGCCGTGTAGCTTGATATTGCCTGCTTCTTCTTTTGGAAAGGGGGAGTTGTAGTGCGTCCTCTGTTGAACATGTTGCAGGCGTGGTCCAGCTGGTGGGAGGTGTGCATCTGAGCCGTAGCGCTGGAAGCATTGCTGCCCCTTCTTTGGCCCGTTCCAGCAGGTGGCCCGTGGCCCTGTAGTCTTTGTGGCCGCTTTGGTAGCAGTTCTCCCAGATGCGGTGGTAGTCAGTGTCCAGCGCCCCACACCTGCATGTTCCTGCCGTCCCGAATGCCTCCGCCCTTCTTGCTCCTGCCCAGGTGCCTCCACAGACCGCCGCGAGCAGGGCCCCGTATTCCTGGCACTTTTCTTTCTTCTTGAGCATGTTGATCTCTTTTGACGTCCGTGAAGTCCGCTCCCTGCTCGAGACCTTTCCCGTTGTGGTGCTTCGCTGCCTTTGCCCAGATGTTACGTTCCACGTCCTTCATGATGTAGTCGATGACGTCTGTCGGGTCTTCCTCGTGCCCTGCGCCCATGGCCCATTGGTCTCCGTTGTTGCCCGTCCATCTCGTCGGCGTCGTAAGGTCCCAGCCCAGCTCCGTCAACTGCAAGATCAAGCTGCCGATGATGCCCCTCCGTTTCCTCCACCTTCCTTTGCGCGTGCCTTGTGGCATTCTTCGACGGATGCTTGGCCAGGTTCTGTGGGCCGCGCCATGGATCTCAGGGTGTCTCGCCCATATGTCAAACCAAGATGTGAGTTGGGCGCGTGGAATCGTTTGTGCTGGGCCGCTCCCCCCTAACGCCAGTAAGGTGCTTAAGCATCTACCTGTCCACGTACGTCTGAACGCTTTGCCATATTGTCTTCTGATATGCTTGATTTCCGACGGGGGGCTGCCACGCGCTTTGCATCCGTAGAGCACCGACGCCATCGCCCCTTGCTCTACTATGCCCTTGATCTGCTTGGTGTTGAGCAGCCTCAGTTTCTTGCCAACCTTGTTGAACCTCTTCCCTGCTTTTATCTTTCTGGCCCTGTGTGCCACTCGTGATGTGGTGAGCTTCGCGCCTCTGTCGAGCCCCAGGTCCCGCCCTTCTTTGACTGGCCTGACCTTGATGTTGTGCTTGGCGAGCTGCTTGGTAATGTTCGCTGCGCTCTTGCTGGTGGGGCCGAAGACTACTGACGTTACTGTCATCTTCAGGTTGCTCTTTTCCAGCTGTGCGTTGAGTGACGCGACTTGGTTCACGATGTCGCACTCCACCGACGCCTGGCTGCCTGTGGATCTGAGGCTGATGTCGTCGAACCAGATTCTGGGGTTGGACATCGGCTCCTCGTTCAGGTGTTTCGTGGTCGTGTCGTAGACTAGGGCCCGAGCCAGGTTGTTGCTGTGTCTAGAGCCCGCCAACAGGGACTTGCTGGCCAACGCGCGTTCGCTGTAACATCCTTCTTGCCGTAGGAGTCTCGACGTCATGTGCTGGAGTAGTGACATGGCCAGGATGCGGGCTGGGGCATTGTAGTGCTGCGCTGCGCGAGCTGTGTACTCAAACTCGACGTCGCCGTAGAACCTCTCGACATGTATGAGTGCACCTGCTGTCGTTGCACCTAGGACGTCCGCGGTCTCGTCGTCGATGATCCTGAGCATGCCCCCCCGCAGGCAGCTCTGTCCTGGTACTGCGGCGTCCCGCGGCAACTTGATCTCCTTAACCCAGTCTCGCACTTGCTCTCTATTGAGCAGTTCCCAGCATCTGCCAAACCAACTGAGCAGGGCTGAGCAGTGCAAGTGCTCTGTCTCCGCCTGTGCTGGCCGCGTGGTGCGATGGCTGGCTGGCTCCCTTGGGCTCGAGCATGATGATCGCCTCAAGGACCTGCCAGGGCCCTGCGATGGCCTTCTCGCACTCGTTGTACATGTGCACGAAGCTGCTGCGTCCCTGCGTTGGGGGACGGCGTCGGTCCGTCATGCGCATCTGATATACTCCTTTTCCTTTGTCTGGCGCGCCTTGTATTGCCTGGTCTAGCTGCTCTAGCGACCATGTCGGTGCCTTTGTCCGTTGTGCTGTCCGTAGTAGGTCCTGTAGAAGCTCGACGCCTGCAGTGGTGTGTCCTTTGTGCCAGATGCTCTCAAATATTGCAAGCTTGGTGCCCATCTTGCCCATCGGTGAGTGCTTCTTGTCCAGCTTGTGCAAGAGCTCCTGCTCGCAGCGCTTCCCGTCCGTCGTGATGGTGTGCATTTTCCCTGGCGGTTCCTTGGCTGCCGTCGTGATCCATTTGATGTATGCCTTTCTGCCCTTCGCGATGTCCTCTTTGGGCGCTGTGTGTGCTTGTTGCTCTGCTTGCATCCGCATGCCTTCTAGTATGTCGATGTCCTGCTTGTCTATGTTGAGCAGCCTTGTCTTCCATATCTTCCTGTGTAACCTTGCCGTTGCCGATGCTTGATGTCCGAGCGGTGGTAGTCCCTCCACCGCCAGCAGCCTGCACGTCGTGGCTGCCCTGTCCTGCATTTCTTTCCCTCGGTTGCGCTTCTTGAGCTGTTCGATGATGTTCAGGGTGTTTGCCGTCCTGTGCCACCCGTCTGCGTTGTGGCCCGTGTAGCGTGCGTGTCTGGGTTCTCGTTCCTTCTGCTCCTTGCATTTGAGCTCGTTCGGTAGTCCTCTTCCCTTGGGCAATTTCCTTTCTTTGATCGGGATGTGGTAGACCGCGCAGTAAAGGTTTTCCATGTCCTGCATGGGCCTCGCGCGCTGCGCCCCTAGCACCACGGTCTCGCTCTCCGTGGCTTTGTATGCTGCGCTCTCCGTAATTCTTGTGGGTGGTGTGGTGCTCGCGGTGGTAGCGTGCGTCGGTATCGGCGTCATGCAGTGCCAGAGGTCGTCCATGCAAGTGGTGGGTATGTCTTGCTCTGCCTTGTACTGCACTTGCGGTGGGCTGTGCTCCGTCTCGTCCTCTTGGTCGGTGTCTCCTCCAAGTTGTACAAGTAGAGCCACCGCTACTCGTTGTGCTTGCTTGGGGTCCTCCTGGCCCCCGCTGCTGTCCTGCTGCATGCGCTCGCTCTCCTCGATGTCCAGGTGGCGCCCGAGCTCGTCGAAGGGGTCGATGTCCTCCTCCTGGCCGCCGATCTGGATACCTCCGCGAGGTGGGGATGGCTTGGCATTATAGGCTTTCGCCTTCCCCTCCTCACTGATAGCAGCCTCCGTAGGGAACCCTGTCCATCCACGTGGCGTGAGTGCTTCCCATCGCGCTGCCTCAGCCCGTTGCTGTACTTGTCGTCGTTGGATTTGGAGTTGTTGTGCTGGCTCCTGTGGTGGATGGCCTGCCTCATGCTGCACTTTGTGATGTCCCTTTGCCTCCTTTTGCTTGCTCAGCTGTCTGCCGCTTACTGTCAGGATTGGGCAGGGGCTTGGCGAGCTTCGGGTGGCTGAATGGCCGTGGCAATGATAGTGTTCTCATCATGTTGTACTGGATGGCCCCGTTGATGACTAAGCACTGTCCGATATGGGGTCTCCAAAGTACGTCCCTGATCTCCGTGACGTGGCTGATGTGGCGCTCCGCTTGGGAGCTGACCAGTGCGAAGTCTATGAGCGACTGTTCGCTGCCGCGCTTGAAGCAGATGCATGAGTCACTTGGCAAGGCCATTACCTTGTTTCCGATCTGCTTGGGCCAACCAGTGTCCCATGCCTGCTTCGGCGTGTGGTTCCAGTCTCCCACAATGACCCATGGTTGACTGATGCTGAGGAGGGAACTCGTGAGCGTGGCGATCTTGCGGCCGTTGGTGCCATTCAGGATCGCACAGTTGCCGTCTATGTAATTACTGATAATTATCAAAGTGAAACCTTGGAGGTGCCATGTCATCGGCGCCCAATCTAAGAATTGCAATCCGTCCTCTTGGGAGTCTAGGGTACCAATTGTGGCGCCGCTCACTGTCTCCCGTGAGGCAATCTCTCTATAAGTCGATGCTTGATGGTGTGACCTGAACGCGATACTCGCACCGCCGTAGGTCCCCGTTGAAGATGTACGTGACGGCCCGGCTGCGCTTGCGACTGCTTTCAACCCCATGTTGTGTAGAGTCTGTTCGTGCAGCTCGACCTCGTCGTGCCCAAGGTGCGTCTCTTGGAGTGCGAAGGCGTCGAAGTAGCCATCGTCCCCTGGTTTCTTCTCTATCGCCTTCCGCAGCCATTTTTGCGCCTTGGACTCCCGCTGAGTGTACTTGCCGAAGAAAATACGTCTTTGGGGAACAGCGTCGGCTCTCCGCTGTCTCCCCGACGCATTGCCCTACTCCTCCTTCATCATGCCCTTGTCCGCTGCCTTCGCGAGCCTCTTCTTCTCCAGGGTGTCGTCCATGTTCTTCTTGTCCTTGCCGCCTGCTTCTGCCTTCGCTTCCGCTGGCGCGGTTGGCGTACTCGATGCGCTTGTGGCCTGGCCCCCTGCAGGTTTGGGCTATTCTTCTTTCGCGGGTTGTCCGTTGTCTGCCTTTCTTTTCTTGGCTTTCTGCCGTGTCTCTTTGCGCTGCTCTTTGGCGCGTTCCTTGGTGTCCTTCACGAAGGTGTCCAGGTGGCCCTTGAAGGTCTGCGCTTCGTTCTTCATCTTCTGGGTGGGGTCTTGCTTGGGTTTGACGATCTCTACACTGGCTTCCCCGTCCAGTTCATCGTCTGCTGCCAGCTCTTCCTCGATGCTCTTCATGGCCGTCTCCGTGAGTCTCGAGATGTCTCCGTGCATGAGCTGCTCCAGCAGCCCCTGCGTCTGGTGGTTGCCTCCCGTTTCTTCATGGATTCTGCGGATCGCGTACTCTGACTCGAAAATCTGTTCTGCTGCTTCTTCCGCTTCGAGTCGCAGTCTGTCTCATTTTGCCAGGTGCTGCTCGTAGACCATCTGCTTGTGGTTGTAGCGCCTGTTCGCCTGCTCTAACTCTCTGGCCGCCTCTGCGAGTCTTATGGCCTTCGACTTTTGCGGTGCCTGCTCCTGTGCTGCCTTTTCCTTGGCGATCTGCGCTGCCAGCGCCGTGGCGTGGTTCCCGATCTCCGTGTTGGTCGGGCCTCCGCTCAGCTTTGTCACCAGCTGTTCAAGCGTCTTCGCGAGGGAATCGACGTTCACGTCCTGTGCGTCGTCGTCGTTTTGCTTCCACTCGCCAAAAGGGCTTTGACGCCGCCAGCTCCTCCACTGCTTCTTTTTAGACCATGGCTGCGACCACTGCGTCTCGTACTTCGTCTCGTACTTGGGCTTGGCGGCGCCCTCCTGCGGTTCTGGTCTGACTGTCTTCCAGCATTTGGTACACCACCAGTTCTTCCTCCCCCATCTGTAGTCACCACACCCTTTGCAGTCCGTGCGCGCGCGCTGGATGGACGGCGCCATGCTGCCGTGGTGTTGCTGCAGTATGAGGATGTCCTTTGTCTGTCTCAGGCGCCTCTTGGTGCTGGAACGCCGCCTGCGCTCCCTGCGGTGCCAGGCAGGGGAGCGCTCTCTGCGGCTGCAGCGGCCACCGTGGGGCCTGGGGGCTATGGCGCCGCGGGCCGGCCGCCGCAGGGCAACGGCTGGAGGAGGAGGAGGAGGAGGAGGAAGGAGAGGAGGAGGAGGAGGGAGGAGGAGGAGGAGGAGGAGGAGGAGGAGGAGGAGGGGGAGGAGGAGGAGGAGGAGGAGGAGGGGGGGTCAGGGGAGAGGAGGAAGGAGGAGGAGGAGAGGAGGAGGAGGAGGAGGAGGAGGAGGAGGAGGAGGAGAGGAGGAGGAGGGAGGAGGAGGAGGAGGCGGAGGAGGGCGGAGGAGGGGCGGAGGAGGGCGGAGGAGGGCGGAGGAGGGCGGAGGAGGGCGGAGAGAGGAGGGCGGAGGAGGGCGGAGGGCGGAGGAGGGCGGAGGAGGGCGGAGAGGGCGGAGGAGGGCGGAGGAGGGCGGAGGAGGGCGGAGGAGGGCGGAGGAAGGCGGAGGCGGGCGGAGGCGGGCGGAGGCGGCGGAGGGCGGAGGGCGGAGGAGGGCGGAGGAGGGCGAGAGGAGGGCGGAGGAGGGCGGAGGAGGGCGGAGGAGGGCGGAGGAAGGCGGAGGAGGGGGCGGAGGAGGGCGGAGGCGGCGGAGGCGGCGGAGGAGGGCGGAGGAGGAGAGGAGGGGGGAGGAGGAGGAGGGAGGAGGAAGGAGGAGGAGGCGGAGGAGGAGGAGGGGGCGGAGAGGAGGAGGAGGGAGGAGGAGAGGAGGATGAGGAGGAGGGGGGGGCGGGGAGGAGGGCGGAGGAGGGCGGAGGGAAGGGGGGGAGGGCGGCGGAGGATGGCGGAGATGGCGGAGATGGCGGAGGATGGGCGGAGGATGGCGGCGGAGGAGGGCGGGGGAGGGCGATGAGGGCGGAGGAGGGCGGAGGAGGGCGGAGGAGGGCGGAGGAGGGAGGAGGAGGGCGGAAGGGGAGGATGAGGAGGAGGAGGATGAGGAGGATGAGGAGGAGGAAGAGGAGGGGGAGGAGGAGGAGGGATGTTGCTGCTGCTGCTGATGTTGATGCTGATGCTGATGCTGATGATGCTGATGCTGATGATGATGCTGCTGCTTGCGATGATGATGATGCTGATGGTGCTGATGCTGATAATGCTGCTGATGCTGCTGATGATGATGAAACTGATGATGCTGATGAAGATTATGCTGGTGACGATGACGACGACGATGACGATGGCGATGATGATGCTGATGATGGTGATGCTGCTGATGCTGAGGATGAGGAAGCAGAGGAGGAAGGAGGAGGAGGCGGAATATGATGATGATGCGGAGGAGGAGGAGGACGAGGGCGGAGGGCGGAGGAGGAGGAGGCGGAAGATGATGGTGATGATGCTGATGATGATGATGATGCTGATGATGATGACGATGACGATGGTGATGATGATGATGAGGAAGGGGGGGGGGGGGGGGGGGTGAGGGCGGAGGGCGGAGGAGGAGGATGATGGCAAGTTAGAGGAGGACGACTAGGATGATGATGCTGCTGATGATGCTGCTGCTGATGCTGATGACGTTAATACTACTGATAATGATGATGGTGATGATGATGATACTGATGCTGATGATGGTGATGGTGATGATGGTGATGATGATGATGATCATGATACTGCTGCTGCTGATAAGGGCGCTGGTGCTGGTGATGCTCCTGCTGCTGCGGATGATGATCATGAGGAGGAGGAGGATGAGGAAGAGGGCGGATGAGGAGGCCGGAGGGTGAGGGGGACGAGGAGGCGGACGAGAAGGAGGGACGACGAGGACGCGGATGAGGATAATGAAGAAGAAGCGGAGGAGGAGGAAGATGAGGAGGGGGAGGGAGGAGGAGAGGAGGAGGAGTGAGAGAGGAGGAGAGGGAGGAGGACGAGGAGGAGGAGGAGGAGGAGGAGGAGAGGAAGAGGAAGAGGAGGGGGAGGACGAGGAGGAGAATAGGTGGATGGGGAGGGGGAGGAGGGAGAGGAGGAGGAGGAGAATAGAGATGAGGAGGAGGAGGAGGAGGGGAGGAGGATGAGGAGCAGGAGGAGGACGGAGGAGGAGGAGGAGGAGGAAGAGGAGGAGGAGGAGGAGGAGGAGGAGGAGGAGAGGACCGCGAGGTCGTGGGGCGAGTGCGCACGGGGAGCCCCGGGGTGCGAGATCGCGGCCTCACGCTCAGACCCGCGCGTTATCTGTCGCGCCCCCACACGCCGACCAGGGAAGAACTCGGAAACCTTTCCCCTCGCGGCCTCACAAACGCGGCCACAGACAATGCATTTATATCTTGAATTCACAAGCTTGACACTGTGCCCAGCCGCCTTGAGTCTACTTCTGCGAGTGGCGAGAGAAGGGGGAGCCCTCGGCAGAGGAGGAGGACGCCCGACTCTGTCTGACACGAGGCGGCGGCACGTTAAATTAACTTCACGATTAACATCCAGCAGACGCGACAAGACCTTCCCAGTCATGCCATCTACTTCATTCAGGGCATTCACATGGTCCTGTGGGACCTCTCCTAAGGCGACAGCCTCCCCAGCAAAAAAGTCAGCAACAAAATGCAAGAACAAACTCGACCCTAGAGATGCCCCAAACCTCACGAGTCCCCGCCGTGGAGTGGGCCTTGATCCAGAACGCCTCCACAGAGCCTTCACGAGCATCCAGGAGCGTCCAGAGCTGGTCCCAGAGGTCGAGCATAGGCGACGTAGCAGAGATATGAGACCTGTCCCTACGAAGACCACGCACCAAAGGCAGCTAATCAGAGTAAGCCACACTATCTCCCACAGTATGTCTCGGCAACATGATCATAGCATACATTTCGGCCCTGGGGCTCGACTGAGCCGCGGTGGGAAGGGTGCCCATGAGGATGGCGTCACAGGCCAGGTCCAAGCTCTGGAGGCTGTCCTCATCGAAACGAACCACAGACCACCCACAGCGCCTGAGCCTCCAACCCGAAGCGTAAATACCCCCAGAGCCATCCAAACCGTAACGACCTCCACGTACCACCTGGTCCCCCACGAAGAGGCCCCAAGACTTCACAATCTCGACGGGCGGCGGAATGGGCGCGACAGCGGCAGCCAAGGGCGGGAGCCCACGAGTCCAGAACGCACTCCTGACATGCTCGGGCTGGTTCGCCATCTCGACAAGGTCCAGAGAGCGATGCATCGCGATGCTGACGATCGATGCATTGGCCGAGCATTCCCAGCAGCGGTGGAGGCTAGTTTCCCGAGCGGCCCCACACCTAGGACAGATGCCGTCTGTTTGGTACCCCGCATCTTGAAGCCGAGCTTCGGGCCAGGTGCCTGCCGTAACAATGCACACGAGCAATGCGGCATCAACGTACTGCTCATTCTTGATCATCTTAGCATGCATTCTACGGAACCCCGTGAAATCAGCACCTCCATCCAACCCTTCTCCACAAAAATGCTGAGCCGCTTTGCTAGCATGTCCCCGAGAAACAGACTGCCGCACAACAGCACGGATATGAAACATGAAGTCGCGCGCCTCCAAGCAGAGCACTCCGCAAGGCGTGCCCCACTGTGTAGGAGAAGTGGGCGACCAATCCAAATCGAGCAGGGTGCCGATCGTGGCCGCGATGGGGCCAGCCACCGTGCGCCAGCGGCACTGAGGCGGGAGAGCAACGAGCCGTGCCCGATGGTGCCCCCACGCCTTGCGCACCCCTTGCCGTTGCCCAGGGGACAAGGCATGCCATACACCAGCAATAGCGGATAACTGTTCAGTACGCAGCCGATATTCAGGATCCT